CACACTCTCACACTCTCACACTCACTCACTCACTCACCCACTCACTCACTCACTCACTCACTCTCACACACACACACACACACACACACACACACACTCACTCTAAATGAAGAGATGTGGACACAGAAACGAGAGTTTAGTGCTCTGCATGCTCAGCTCACGCGCCTCTTCTCATTGACCTGCTGCAGGAGTGATTGGGAAACTCTGAACAGCACTGCTTTATTTACTGCACTGATCCTCTGTTCTCACGTATGCTGATTATATGCAAATAATGTGTAAAAACCCTTCAGGGCTTTCAGCAGCATTAGCAGCACAGCAGTGAAGAGCTTCCTCTGCCTGCAATTACAGCTTTTAAGAGAGAGAAAGCGGCAGGAGATGCTAATGAATGACCGCAGTGTTTAGTGCTCAACACTTTATCCACTTCGCTCCAGGAATCAGATCCAGAGCGGCTGAGGCTCACTGTCGACTTCAGCGCTGAAGGAACTGCAGAGGATTTCTCATGCATAAACACATGCTTACAGTAGACATCAGGATCAACTCTGCATTTAATCTAAAGCAGCTGTGCACTGCACATTTTACAATGTTCTCATTCGTTTCAGTCTGAGAGAATCATATCCTCATCTAGTGGTCAGAATGATCAAAGTGCTGCTTTAGTTCACTGTTCACTGAAGACGATCAAACAGAAAGCAGAAACTAAACAAAGAACAGCTGAACATCTCTTTGAACACATGAAACACGGTATGCAATGTCTCACTTTTCTTAATAATAAGTGAAATGGTTTGTTTGAATGGTGTGTGAGTTTGAAGTGAGTGCATCTGTTTGACATTATTGGTGTCGGACTGATGGCAAACAGGAGGAGTGTTTGAGAATCTTGCTTTAAAATTCATTATTTGTATTGTATTGGTTGAGGGATTTGTCTTTAAAGAATAGTTCATCCAACAATGAACATGTGCTCACTGTGTCACAGCCATCAGCTGGTGTGCCTATGACCACCGGAGGGCACTCTTCCCGGACCACTGCCTGTGTTCTTCTGGACTTCAGTTCCCATCACCCTTGCACAGGCTATCATGCTTCACTGCCTTCAGCTGTTTGTCATTTAAGGATTTAGCTCACCCTGATATATACCATGTTCACTCTGTCTTCTGTGTGTTTTTTTGCTGGTGTTGTCTCCTGGATTACCTTGTTCTTGCGCTTTTTTCTTTTGCCCTGTTTCTGGATCTTTGTCTGGATTACTCATTAAAACTGCACTTGGATTTTATGTAGTCCCAGAGTGTTCCGTGATATCCTCAGGTCATCCGAGATCAGGACGAGTCTGTTTCTTCATCAGGTTTGGAGAAATGTAGCATTGCATCAGTGTCTCAGCAATGGATGCTCTGCAGTGAATGGGTGCCGTCAGAATGAGAGTCCAGTCTTAATGCTGGATTTGTCTTAGTTTTTGTCTTCTCCAGATGTTAACTGATGGACTGGAGTGCTGTGGATTACTTGTGGATTATTGTGATGTTTTTATCAGCTGTTAGGACTCTCATTCTGACGGCACCCATTCACTGCAGAGCATCCATTGCTGAGACACTGATGCAATGCTACATTTCTACAAACCTGATGAAGAAACAAACTCATCCTAATCTCAGATGATGGCCCGAGTGTGAGTGCATTTTCATGTTTGGGTGAAATACTCCTTTAACTCCTTGTGCACATGCTGGCATGAATGATATTTCAAATCATATCTAGGAGGGACTGTATGTAGAGAGCAGAGCAGAAACAACACTCTAGCGAACAACCAGAACAACCTACAGCAGCAGCAAAACACACATTTACTCAGCTATCTAAATGGGGACATTCCATAGGCGATGGAAAAGATGGTTACGTAGATGCACGCTCACACACACACACACACACACACACACACACACACACACACACACACACACACACACACACACACACACACACTCACACGCACACACACACACACACACACACTCACACACACACACACACTCACTCACTCTCTCACTCACTCTCACACACACACACACACATACATACATGCTCACACGCACACACACACACATGCACACACACGCTCTCACACACACTCACTCACTCTCACACACACGCTCTCACACACACTCACTCTCACACACACGCACACACGCACACACACGCTCACTCACTCACTCACTCACTCACTCACTCACTCTCACACACACACACACGCTCACACACACGCTCGCACACGCACACACACACACACACACACACACACACACATACATAGCCTTCGAACACTTTAGCAATGCCCTGAAAGCACCAGAAACACTCCAGCATTGTGCCATCGCGTTCAGCACTTACATTATCCACAGAAAAGCTAACACTTGCTTTGTGTTATTTGGTTTGGTGCAGAAATGGCACAGTTCACCTCCAAACTCTCAGAAGTTGTGAGCATGTGGTCTGGTTTAGGGAGTCGGTCAGTCCATCTGCGCTGTGAGCACAGGTGATGTGGCTGCTGTGACCCGAGGTGAGCATCACTGTCACGAGCAGGAGGCAGAGCGAGAGAGAAGAGAGACACTGCTCAAAGAACAGGCCTCGACCTACTGGACTGACTTACAACGATCAACATTCACCACGTGACCAGTTTTACCATGCACTTTTCTTTTTCATCTGACTTGGGTAAAATCTCTTGACATGTGGCAGTCGGATCAAACGAGTCCAGATTGGCAGAATGATTCGTTACTCTGTGGTTGATCAGCTGCAGTCATTAATCCAGGTCTTCTGTACCGAAACTCATGTCTTCTGTGCTCTGGCTCTGTGAAGCAGATGCTGCCTTACTCCTGTAAATGTCACTAGGACAGAATATGTACAGATAATTTCATTGTGCAACAGACACTTCTGACCGACGCTTTAATTGCACCTCCAGCAAATGGACTTCTCGTGGAGCGCCTGCAGATCTCTAGCGCTAAAAGGAGTCGTCTTGCATGCAGTTCACTTACTGAGAAACAGTTGACATTTCAAGGACTCGATGTCCATTTGCTGTGCTGTCAGCGCGCGGAGTAATGCGTTATAATTTAGCGGGAGCTGACAGACTAAATATGAGAAAATCTCCAGCTATTTTGCTCCTGACAACAGCCCGAGGTCGGACGAGGAGCGTCACAAACACATCCAGACAGGAGTAAACACTTTGAAAAGAAAGAGGGGGAGTTTGACAGGAACAGAGACGTGTGTGTGTTATATATGCACTGGACTGATTGTGTCAGAGGAGTACAGTAACTAACGCTGCAGAGCTCAAATCAGCGGTTAGTGTTATACTGTGCG